CTAAGATCAGCTGAGCTGACTAGCCGTTGCTTTTATGCTGCGTGGGCAAATGTCACATCTAAATTGTCCAGGCCGAAGAACGGAGCCAGTTTGAGCTGTCCTGCATTGCGCCTCTGGCTCATACGGTGGGGGAAGAAGGCAGGTCTTTGTTCTGTGACATACCCGTAGCCTCTGGCTCAGCTGTCTGACCCAATTGGTTGTGGGAGGCATGCCTAGCAGAATCGACACCTAATGCGATTGTGCACAGCAGGTGTCATCGGAGCAGCGCCAGACTTCCGACCGTTTGGAAGAACACATTGACGATCAAAGTAGAAATCTGAGGGCTCAGAGTATTCCCAGACCGTCTCGTATTACAACTACTCGTGGTACGGGAGTTTGTTGCTCTTCGTATGACCTACCTGGCACATTTGAGTCTTGATGAACAGAGTTCCCGATTTTAAGAAACCCATGATTTGCTGTTGGCCACCCTTCTATCAGCTTTGCTCCGTCAACTTACTCTAATCTCCGCTCTAAGGGAAATAAATTGCACTGATTGAGCCAGGTGAGTATCGTTTGGGTGACCCCAAAACACGTCAAATGAGCCAGAAGATGGGGTTAGTTTTCATGAACTAAAGCGTCATGGTGAGTTTCACACTTGGAAACGCTCTGTGTGGATTCCTGAAGGGTTGAAATATGCCAAATTAGATACGTGTGGTCTCCAGGCCGGAACTACCACACCCCTGAAGTGTATATTCCTCAACGTTTTCCCAAAAGCCTTTTTAATCACTGTATGCTTTCAATGAACGGGAGAAAATTCAATGACCGCTGCGCGTACATACAGACAAACACAGTCACTCGCCTTAAAGATGACACAATGAACAGTACAGCACTGGATTAGTCCGTTAATTGACAGGACTCAGTTGGAGGGAATCTACGAGAGACGGATTGACGCATGTTTCCAAGGGTGTGGCCTTCTGAGAAACGCTTCAGACCGGTTTTACGCTCATCACCGCGACTGAAACTCGTTTGAAACTTTTCAACCAACGAAAAATCTGCCAGGCACATTCTTGCGGTCAATAGGACCAGTCTGGAGGTCGAACGACAGCCTGTCCGCAGATGTCGTCCGACAGCGGTTAGCCTACGCATAAACATCCCCAAATGGAAACAGCGTGTTACGGGGCACGCAGGTGTTACCCATTTTGTCAACATCTGTCGACAATCGAACGTCTCCCATCCTACATGTGTTAGCTGAATGTGCGCATCAGACTAGTCGAGTTCAGTAGGCGTTATGGCGAATAAAAACTCCGACCTAATCGTGCCCTATCGGGGCAAGCACCTTACATGCACCTCAGTGAGTCACCAATGGGTATGACCAACGGTTAACTGATATCCTGTGTGGGGTTAAATGCACGTCTACAAACTGATGAGGTGTTAACGTGAGACTCAACTGAATAGCCCACTTAAGCTATTCAACTCAGTTTTCAAAGGTCGAATTCGGTGGTGTAATATGGGACAAAATTGACGTCAAACGTGTCTACCTGATGAGCTCCAAACAGAACGACGAACGAGGTTCCATCAGCCTAATAAGTAGTCCGTTGCCTTTTTTTTAAAAAAATTGTGTTTACCTCATGTCAGGAGTCCAGACTGCAGTCATTGACAAGATAAGTAAAGATGTCATGGGCGGTGATACAACTGTACCGATTAGACGGGAACCAGGCTTGGAAGTGAAAAATTGCCGTTTTCAATGCAGCGGAGTGTGGTTGGGTGAACCCCAACTAAGAATTTTTGCAGTGGTACTTCTCGAAGCTTAATAGACCGCGCTAAGTGCGCAGGTTAGTACATCTAGGTACGCATCAAACGTTCGGCTGTGACAACCTTTCAATATCTAACTGCCATGCCACCTGAAAGAAGCATGAGGTTGCCCAAACCTAGACAGAAGCAGTCGCGATGCCACGAATGTGTTCGAACCACGAACCTTTCGGTCAGTAAGTGGGCGTGGCAACAGACAACAGCCAGATAACACCCAATTCAAAGAAATTCGTATCCTTACCGAACTCAGCACGAATATCGCCAAGTGGTTTGAGTGTCGTTGTTGTAGCTGGGACTCTGTTCAACGTTCCGTTCCGTTCGGGCAACCTTAGTCGGCAGCGAGATGGTCCAATTCACAGACCACAGAAAAAGCACGTACCGATTTGGAACAATCATCCTTCTACGCTCCATGTTCACGTTCGGTTGTGCGGAGGCTGGGGTGGTAGCAAATGCATGTTCTATTTTTAACCGTATGTCAGTCCTGTCCGAACGGCAGGTGGACACAAGCGGGTTGAGAATAAATGTTTTAAAATTCAACCGTATGCTGCTCTGCATATCGCAGTAGCTGCTCGCTGTGAGCTATGCTAGCTTGATCCAAGAGCGAAGTCTTTCATGTCTCGTGTCATATTGCCCCCGAATGTTTGCGCACGGCATTCCACAAATGCAACAGGTTTTCACGGGGCCTTTTTGGAGCACTAATTGTCATGGTGTTGTGTTATACCGTCCAAGCATTGTACGCATACTAAATTATGGTCGGACTGTTCCATAGGTAACGCGTTCCTATGCAGCGTCGTTCAAATTGATTGTAGGTTTTAAGTTGGTCGCATGTTGTTTCACCCCACTTTAGTAATAACTGGCTTCTCTTTCACCTCAAGTAAGAATGAAGGTTATCAAACTGAGGCATTAATCGTCAGGGGGACCGCTGTGCAGTGGTCGTTCACGTAGTGAGGAATATGCAGGTGATTGGAAGATCCCAACGAGGTCTACCAAGAATGATGGGAAGGTTGTCGAAACGGTGGGTGAAATCGGTGGACTCCATGTCTCCGAGGCGTCAAGCAGAGTTCAGGCCGCTCTTGTTTCAAACACGTCATACAAGTAAGAGGTCCAATCCATAGAACGAATATTTTCTCACGCAATATAAATCGCTCAGCTGTAGCACCCTTCGGCGCCTAACTGCCATGCCAGGCTGAGATACTGTCGGGTTGCCCAAGTCTAGACAGGGGAAGTAGAGGTGCAGAAGTCGGGTTCGAACCACGGACCTTCCGGTCAGTAAACTGGCGCTCCAGCCACTGATCCATGTTGAGAAGAAAAAATCGCTGAGAGATAAAACCGAGGTGCTAGATATGAGTAATCTGTTTCGCACACATACTGTGACAGCTAGTGACACCAGTGTTACTAAAACGAGCTCATCTAATCGATCGTGAAGTCCAACACAACATGCAGCAATCCTCAGGGTGACCAAACGTCTGTAGTCAGCCCACAACCGAGTAACAAAGTGTTGATAGTATTGGTTAAAAGAACCTTCGGATGCAGCGAACGATGTTGATCGTGGGGATGGAGATGGTATGCGCAGTCGATACGCATTTTGCTCAACTTTCTAAGGGGAACTAACCAAATCGAGGGGTCGTTTTGTAAGTCCTTGAAGATGTTCCAGAGACTGCATTCTAAACAAGCGAATTTCACGCTTTTCCACACCCAATAATTTTCATCGAAACACGTAATTTTATGGCTTACCGTATCGTATTTCTTATTTGCCAAATCGTTTTGCGTGCTCTTTGGCTCTGATTAAAAAAAGTATCAGTTTGCGTGTCCTTCCCTAACCCCTAATCTCAAACTTTCCGACCGGTACGATGACGTCGGTACCCTTGCTTTCCACTACAATTTTAACCGTTTGACTAAAGTTGCCAAAACGATCAGAAAGATGTTTTGTACATCCGAACGAACATAATCGCCCTCGGTCTAAGGAATTTATAAGCGAATGGCTTTCGGGGGAATTAAATCAATCAATCTAGGGGAAGTGTATCTCCGTGTTGTTGAAGTGGCTTCGTGAAGTCAAATTCCTCAAATCTGTCGTTTTTTTTCATGTGAACTTGGTTTTTACCAATCGCTCAACACACAACACATGCTCTGCTGTCAGGAGCGATGTGTCCGCGGGGGCGTGCGCTCTAAATAAGCGAACACCACATTGATTGGATGGATGTCACGTGCGGAGTACGGACCAAACGAAGGCAGGCCTTAATTGGTCAGTGTCAGCCAATCAGGGTCGACAGTGCTTCGGTCGGTGCTTCTCGCCCGCTCATGAAGATTCTAGCATGACCGTGTTCCATGATAACCTTATGAATACGGTTGTACTAGTTATCGTTTATCTTCACAAAGGGCTGTCTCACGCTGCCGCGCCTTTTGATATACCGTCGTGGGCAGAACAGGAAGCCAAGGACTGATATGGGAGTTGCAATATCGTTTGCAAGACAACAGGCAGGAAGCATTATCTCGAGTTACTGTTCGAAACTTATAATTGGCGCCGTAGTTGAAATAAATTTAAGGAGCACTAAGTATAAGGGAACGTGGCCAAGTCAGCGAGAACTGGTATTTGTACACATGCAAACTATTACCGTCATGAGAAGACAGGATCTTACAGTGGTGTGACGACTTGCGCATCTCAGCGACCCACTGAGCTATACTGGGGGTACCCCACGACACTCACAGAATCACTCAAACCAGATTGGTCAACGGTTAGAGATCTGACAAACACAGTTTCCTGGTCCTTCAGGTTGGAGTTTGGAGCACGGGGCGACTTGTTCCGTAGAGATGGCAATACATTTGCATTTCCCGCCAAACACCGCTGCCTTGCGGTTAGGCTTTTGAGCCACAGGCTTTGGTTGAGGACCCTAATCGTCCTCCTGTCTAGGTGTGGGCGCCATGACAGTATCCCATCCGATGTACAGCCATGATACCTACGTCTAACAATGAGCTCATGCCACATGGTACGGCAGAGAAGCATGGGGTTTTGAAAACTGATGTCATGCTGTCTATGATGGTGATGATGACGATGATGACATTGCGAGGAATTCCTTTGGAACTTTCCGAATTAAGGTTTCGTTTGATTTAAATTAACATAACAACAGCTTTGGGGAAGTTCGTTCACCCAGAACAAACGTGCTATTAACACAATGATCACCGCTGAAGAAAGAACAAATAATAGCCGCACTTACAGACTTATCTTTGCTCAGATGACGAATCACGGCGTCTGTCAGGAGCTCCCATCCTTGATCTTTGTGCGAATTCGGTGAAGAAGCCCGGACTGTGAGGACTGCGTTGAGTAGAAGCACACCCTGGCGAGCCCAACCACTGAGGTCACCGTGTTTTGGTGACCATTCCAGATTTCCCGCTGATTCCGGCAATCCTGAACGAATTTCCTTGTACATATTGATCAGGCTTGGTGGAGGAGGAAGGGGACGTTGAACGGAGAAAGCAAGTCCATGCGCTTGTTTCGGACCATGATAGGGATCTTGACCCAAGATGACCACTCGGACCGACGAAGGAGGGCACAATTGGCTCCAAGTGAACACCTGCGGTGCACAGTGGAAGTCAATAGTCTGAGACAACGATATCTAAATGATCGAGCTTTGTCTTGTTAAGGGAACACCATATGAAGCAACCACCCCTCAGACAATACTACTGAATACCGAACTGTTAAGGCGTTTTTCACTTTCAGAGGAGATCAGGGATCGGTTTCAAGCCTTAGAGCTCACCCGCTCTTTGCACTCCATGCATAACGCCACCGCGTTCTTATTTTATATGCTTTACGGATACAGTATACACAGAACTTAACACATTTTGTGTGTGATGACAACACGTGTTACACACCTGAACAAGGAGCCTAAGGAGGGAGACGCGACCTGATGTTCAATATTCTGTGGAAGAAGTCCACTGGTTTACTCCTTTGCTTCGACG